TATGTTCACATACTTATTTGATTATTAAAATGTAAACCAATCTTTTTCATATGGGTGTTTAGAGTTGTACCCCCTAGATCTAGTCTCTAGTAATTCTGCATAAAGTGCACCAGATTGAAGCATTTTACTTTAAAATGTTCAAACATTTCTTCCAGGTATGCCTGAGAAGGCAGATATACTTGTTTTTCTCAACAAGAACTGTTCTTTAAAAGTTGGACTGTTGCACTGTTGTAGCTTCAGTGGTTCTCAGGTTACAGTTACATAGCAGTGAATATAAACAGACTGATTAATGTGAATATTACTGTAAACTAACCTGTGTAAAAGTTTCTCGAATAAATGTAATTTTTTTTGGTGGAAGAAGCATGTATCATTTTTTTACCCTGCCCCTCAAAGAATCGGAATTGAGAACCGTTAAGAACCGGAATCGAAAAGTGGAATCAGAATCGTGGAAATTCAAACGATACTATGCTTCGGGTCATTCAAATCAAATCAAACCAAAGTGCTGTACATGTAATAAATACTACAATCACATAAAAACACATTACTACAATCACAATAAAAGACAATAAATTACAACAGATATATAAAAAACACAGGGAAAAGTCAAGAGTCGTGCTCTGCTCTGACTAAAAGGCCAGGGAGAAGAAGTGTGTTTTTAAGAGTAGATTTAAAAACCCCTCGGGTCTAGGCCGACCTCACATGGAGGGGCAGATTGTAGGTCCAGCTGCTGCGAAGGCTCGGTGCCCTCGGGTTTTGAGCCTGATCTTGGGCACTACCAGCAGCAGCTGGTTAGCAGACCTTAAAGCTCTGGCTGGGGTGTAGCGCTGGAGGAGTTCAGCTATATAGGCCGGAGCCAGACAATTTAGTGCTTTAAAAACAAATAAAGGAGTTTTAAAATCAATTCGGAACCGAATTGGAAGCCAGTGCAGTGAGGCCAGAATTGGGGTGTTGTGGTCACGCTTTTTGTGGCCAGTGAGTAGACGTGCAGCTGCGTTCTGCACTAGCTGCAGGCGTTTAATTGACGCCTGGTCCATACCCACCAGTGACGTGCGGTGAGGTTCATGGCTGGTGAGGCACTGACTCTTTCAGAGTCAGATTTACAAATATTATATTTTGACCTTAATCGAAATGTTCGATTATTTTCAAAAGCTTTTTTAGTCTGATGCTTCAATTCATTTTAAACAGACTTTTCAACAAAAGGATACCCACAATCTAAATATTGGATTGTTCTTTCTTAGTAAGATCCCATGTTCATTACAATTGTGGTCTTACCTTGACTGGAAGATGAAGTCCATGCTATCCTTCTGGACAACAATCTCTATTACTTTTTTGTAAAAGTCCTCCTTATCTTCCTCTAGTTTCAAAAGTCTAGTTTGTTGTTTGTCTACCGTCTCTGCGTAGAATAACAGTAGCAACAAGAACCTGTGGGCTCACTTGCGCCCCCTTCAGTGCGGCAGAGGTTATGGCTGCCTCTCCTGGTGCTCTTTTCATTGCCGTTGTATGATGAGACCAGCGAGCCTAAATATCATATATACGTGAAATAAGTTATTTAGAGACTATGGATGGCGAGGATAAATGTAATAAAGGGATCTACAAACATTACATTGGTGACATACAGTGAGATGGTGCAGGCATGCGCTTAGGGCCCGCTTTCCAGCCAGTTTCTGTGGGGTGACGCATTCTGAGGTGAGGCAGAGCTCATCTGTGCCTCACCTCACCACACAGTAACTGGCTTGAGCGCGCTCACAAAATAAGTGCCCGCGCTACATTAGTGCCCGCGCTCCAGCCAGTTACTGTGGGCTTACGTGAGGCAAAGCTAGTCCCTGCCTCACTCCCCATCGCTCCCATGTAGGAGTTGTAGCGGAGCTCGGCCAATTTGCTGATTTTGACTATAAAAAGCGATTGGAATCATACAGAAATCACACTTACAACACAGATCAGTGGAGACATATTATTATTACTATTTAGTTTTTCTTTAGTTGTTTTTCCGTTACATTGGAGTATGGCAGGTGAGGCTCTGCCTCCCCTGACTGCACGTCGCTGATACCCACATACAGAGTGTTGTAGTAATCCAGTCTCGAGGTAACAAAGGCGTTAATAACCCTTTCCAGGTCTTTAAAAGATAAATACGACTTGGTCTTGACCAATAGTCGTATTTTAAAAAAGCAGGTTTCGACTACGCTGCTGACATGCTTATCAAATTTAAAAGCGCTATTGAAGGCCACTCCAAGGTTCGTGACAGAGGGGAGGATATTATTTTTGAGGGAGCCATAAAATATCAACCTTGGAGGTTGGGGTCCAAAAAATATAACCTCAGTCTTGCTCTCGTTGAGGAAATGTTGGCTCAGCCAGGATTTGATCTCTGCTAAGCAGTCCATCAATAGCTGTAATGAGTTGACATTTGAATTGAATGGCAGATAGATCTGTACATCGTCAGCGTAACAATGGAAGGGGATGTTGTGTTTTGTGAGAATTTAACCTAGGGGCAGTAAGTACAGTAGAAAAAGGATGGGGCCCAGAATAGAGCCTTGGGGAACCCCACAGGTAAGAAGGGCTTTGGCAGAGGAGAAAGCATCTAGCTGCACTGAGAAGCTACGGTCTGTCAGGTAGGACCTGAACCATGCAAGGGCAGAGCCTGTGATGCCAGCGGACTGTTCAAGCCGTGACAACAGGATGCTATGGTCCACAGTGTCAAAGGCAGCTGTCAGGTCTAACAGCACCAGGACAGCTGGGCTACCTGAGTCGGCGGCTAGGAGCAGATCATTAAAAACTCTTAAAAGGGCTGTTTCAGTGCTGTGTATGGGTTTGAAGCCAGACTGAAACTTATCATGGATGCCATGCATGGTTAAAAAAGACTGCAGCTGGGCGTAGACTACTCGCTCCAGGGCTTTCGATAAAAAAGGTAGCTGGGAGATGGGCCTAAAATTTGCGAGAATGGAAGGGTCGAGATTATTCTTTTTAAGTAGTGGCTTGACCACGGCATGTTTGAAGGCAGCTGGGACACATCCTGAGCTAAGAGAAGTATTTATAAGTAATGAAATACTTGCTCCAACTGATTCGAAAACATCTCTGAGAAGGCGAGAGGGAATTCTGTCTGAGGTGCAGTTTGTCGGCCGCAGGTGCATGACTACATCCGATAGAGAAGAGAGGGATACAGGCTCAAAGTGGTCGAGGACAGCAGGGCACAGAAAAGGAGCAGAATCTGGGGTAGCACTAGTGTGGGCTAGCCTAAGAGCAGATACTTTTTCAACAAAAAATGTAAGAAACTTATCACAGAGAGTAGTCGATGGCACAATTGGAGAAACATCACAGGGATTAATGATCGAGTTGAGGACATTAAAAATAACCTGAGGTTTATGGCTGTTTTTGGAGATTAACAGAGAAATGTGCTGTGTTTTGGCTGCTTTGACTGCCGTCTGGTAGTCGTAAAGGCAAGCACGAAGGATTTCTAAGGAGACATGGAGTTTATCCTTTTTCCATTTTCTCTCTGCATTTTCCTCTGAGAGCACGAGTACAGTCATTGAGCCACGGCTCTGAGAGAACTTTGGTGCGTCTAAGTGTAAAAGGAGCAACATAATCCAGTATTAGGGTACATGTCGAGTCAACCAGCCTCTGGAACCAGAAGTGACAACCCCGTTCGCTCCCATACTGGTGTTGGCGGCAACACCATTTCCACCGGTCATTCCAGTGCCAGTGGTCACTCCGGGGTCGGCGGTCACTCCAGGGTCGGCGGTCACTTCAGGGTCGGCGGTCACTCCAGGGTCGCGGTCACTCCTGATGAACCCACCAGGGCAGTTTCCTCAGATCGAGAGGAACTTTTTTATCAGGACTGCTATTTTAAGGGACAGCATCGCCCTGAGATCTATGCTGCTAATATTTTCATGGCCATAACGCCATTTGCAACATATGGGAGAATGGTGAAAAGAACTGGACTGGGACCAATGGGAAAATGCCTCTTCCCCTCAATGTGAAGCAAAAGATTGAGTCCTATGTTTCCAATCGGTTCCCAAAGCTGAACATTGACCAGTGGCATAAGATCAGGAACCGGGTAAACGAGAGACTGAGGAGCCCCAGAAAAACAGATCCCGAAATAGCTCGTCCTGGTTTCCGCCACAGATAGGCCTATGGTGTCAGTTATGTCAGTTATTTTAAATAAAACGGTGAAAACTGAACTTGAAAATTGTTTCCTCTTTTTATTTTCTTTATTGTTTTTGGGATGGGGAGACGTGTGTGATTAAAGATTAATTCGCAGAAATGTAAAGTGATCTAACTAAGTTCTATTCATATTCTTGACGGGAAGAGCAGTGTAAATAGGTGGCCTATATGCATTTGAAAAGCAATATAAATCACACAGTTATTCTACAATAGGCTTTAAAAGCACCATCGATAACCATTACCCTTCTCCAATTCAAACTCTTGACGGGAAAAAGGTGTAAATGGTTGGGCTATACTGTACTGTATACATATGAAAGGCAATTCAAGCTAGACGTTCTTCTGGAAATGTTCACATCAGGCACCTTCAAGTTAAACAATAATACAATAAACAATTAGGATTAAACCACATTTGTTTCGTTAAAAATAAACGAAATATCGACCGGTCGACCGCGGGGGCAATGCTGGTAGATCACGAGTCATTCATATAAAACAAAAATCCAGCTCCGTTAAAATAGACAAAACTGGTTTTGATCCCTCCTCCCTTGGCCTCCCTGCCACTTAATTCAGGAGTTTACTTGATTGACAGAAAAAGCGACCTATCGCTTTCCAATCTGTTAACCCAGAATGCAAAGCGATAAAAAATCAGTCAAGTGCCGAGAAGGGTCTAGCTGCGGCCGCGGACAGTACACGACGGTACACGATGGTACACGACACGCCCACCTGACACGACACTACGGTGGCTGAGAAGGGTCTAGCTGCGGCCGGGAAAGTTGTACTTCCAAATATGGTCAGAAGAGAGCACGCCCAATACGTGAGACGCTGACGCAAGGATATTTAAGGAGACAATATGGCGCACCGAGTACAGGTAATTAACGTATTGTGGTTTTAGATATAATTACATACTATTTAGGTTCTCGTTTGTTTGTTGATGTGGCTGTTTAGCGCAGTGTAATTGTGTTTATTTTGCTATATATATATATATATTAGGGCCGGGACTTTAACGCATTAATTAAGATTAATTAATTACACAAAAATTAACGCGTTAAAAAAATTAACGCATTTTAATCGCACTTATTTTTGCACAGCGGAACGTTTCTCACTGGATGAGTTTCAGGCGTACCGATTATACTGGAGCACCAACTAACGTTCATGACTTCAGACAACAACAAACCACAGTGAACAACAGTGGGAATGTTGTTTTAAAAAACGGACGGATGGAAGCGTCGATAAGAGCACGGTTGTGTGCAAATTATGCAAAAAGGAATTCGCATATCACCGCAGCACATCAAGCCTCAAGTATCACCTCAATGCAAAAACATATAGCAGCTAGCGTGGAAGCTAGCGTGGACGTTAGCCTCTTTTATCGCGTTCACACCAAAAAGAGCCGGTACTAAAATTAGTTAATGAGAACCTTTTTACCCCGACGAAAGTCCCTGCTAGAGAGCAGGGACTTTCGTACGGCTCTCTTGTGAGAAAAGAGCTATATTTCTGATTGGCTGGGCGGATTGCAAACCACGCCCCGTAAAACTCCCAAAAAGTTTTGTGAAGCCGCCATTTTATTATCCTCGCATTAGCATTATTAGCATTAGCCCAGCGCAGAAACGCAGAGAGACTAACTTATGGCAACACAAAATAAAAACATGGGAGCGGTGGAGATGAGGAGGTGTCGGCGTTCTGGCGATTTACTCGGAAGGCTGCTGGGACTCCCAGCAGCTTCTACTGAAGCCAGTCCCTAACTCCGGGGACTTCCGGCCGGGGACTTTGGGCGGCAGTATACGCCGTGAAGTGGTTTGCGGCCTGCCAGTAAACCCAAAGCAGAAGAAGAAGAAGTGACGTCAGCGGCTTCATTTGCCTAATCCTCCCCCAGGTTCAAAGAGTTCTCATGAACTAAATTCTCATGAACCTTTGTGGAAAAAGTACTGCGGTGTGAATGCGCCTAATGGTATACTAAAATCCATGTGAAAAAAAATTGCTTCTCACTGTTCTTAGGTCAAATATGTATATGCGATTAATTTAGATTAATTAATTACAAAGCCTCTAATTAATTAGATTAATTTTTTTAACGCGTTAATTAAGATTAATTAATTACACAAAAATTAACGCGTTAAAAAAATTAACGCATTTTAATCGCACTTATTTTTGCACCGCGGAACGTTTCTCACTGGATGAGTTTCAGGCGTACCGATTATACTGGAGCACCAACTAACGTTCATGACTTCAGACAACAACAAACCACAGTGAACAACAGTGGGAAATGTTGTTTTAAAAAACGGACGGATGGAAGCGTCGATAAGAGCACGGTTTGTGTGCAAATTATGCAAAAAGGAATTTGCATATCACCGCAGCACATCAAGCCTCAAGTATCACCTCAATGCAAAACATATAGCAGCTAGCGTGGAAGCTAGCGTGGACGTTAGCCTCTTTTATCGCGTTTACACCAAAAAGAGCCGGTACTAAAATTAGTTCATGAGAACCTTTTTACCCCCACGAAAGTCCCTGCTAGAGAGCAGAGAGCTGCTAGAGAGCAGGGACTTTCGTACGGCTCTCTTGTGCGAAAAGAGCTATATTTCTGATTGGCTGGGCGGATTGCAAACCACGCCCCGTAAAACTCCCAAAAAGTTTTGTGAAGCCGCCATTTTATTATCCTCGCATTAACATTATTAGCATTAGCATTAGCCCAGCGCAGAAACGCAGAGAGACTAACTTATGGCAACACAAAATAAAACATGGGAGCGGTGGAGATGAGGAGGTGTCGGCGTTCTGGCGATTTACTCGGAAGGCTGCTGGGACTCCCAGCAGCTTCTACTGAAGCCAGTCCCCAACTCCGGGGACTTCCGGCCGGGGACTTTGGGCGGCAGTATACGACGTGAAGTGGTTTGCTGCCTGCCAGTAAACCCAATGCAGAAGAAGAAACGTCAGCGGCTTCATTTGCCTAATCCACCCCCAGGTTCAAAGAGTTCTCATGAACTAAGTTCTCATGAATCTTTGTGGGAAAAGTACTGCGGTGTGAATGCGCCTAATGGTATACTAAAATCCATGTGAAAAAAATTGCTTCTCACTGTTCTCAGGTCAAATATTTATATGTGATTAAAAATGCGATTAATTAATTACAAAGCCTCTAATTAATTAGATTAATTTTTTTAATCGAGTCCCGGCCCTAATATATATATATATCTTATATCTTAACATGCTCCACGTTCAGTTAGCATATATGCTAACTGAACATGTTAAGAGCATTCCATGGAATATAACAAAGTGTATCTCGAGCCGGTTTCTCAAACTTACCTACTGCTCCTTTAAGTACGGAAGGATTGTTATAGTCAGAAAAGATCGGCTTCCTTAAAGCTGAAGTTGAATGAAATAGCCAAGTGTCAAACGCAATCAAAAGGGAGACCGAGATACATCTCCCTCGTTGAACTTTTTCCAATAACATGATTTAACTTTATTTGCATGGTCTGAACGTGTTATTGGCTGTTATTTTCTACAACTGTGTTCCCTGTTCTGTGGACTACAGTTGGCGGTTCATGTTCTGAATCTGAAGCAACAACGTTTTGTTCCCCCTCTTTTTTTCTTCTTCTTTCACTCTAATTTCTGATGTTTGACCTAGTTTTGCTCTTGCTTTCCCAGGGGTGTTGCACAGCAAATCATTGCAGGATCCTGGACAGAGAAGACTGCTCTGGATTTTGAGGTGTTTGCAATGTCACTATCGTATTGTCACAATTGGCTATTATGCTCTTACTAACTTTTCTTCATACAGGGGCTTCCGAAGCAGACCCATGGGAATGACTGTGGTGTCTTCATGATAATGGTGAGTAAGGATAAGGCCGTGATATGGCACAATTGATTGCTCCTTAACACCTTTCATTTGTAAATACATGCAATAGTGATTCACCACCACTTAGACCTGACAAACGTTCTGTTTGAATCCCAATGTTCTCTCACTTTATGCACTTGCAAATAAACAAGGTGTGCAATAATAAAAGGATTTAAGGAATGTTCACGTATAGGTAGGCCTCTCGTGCATCTTTCTTGTGGCGTTATCACCTCCACATTTTATTGGAGGTGTGTGACTACTTTCTCACTGAGTTATAAGCCGTCACGTGTACATTATGTCTTGCATGTGCTAATAAAATTATCATTACAGTATGCCTGGTATTTTGCCATGGAGGCCAGCTTTGACTTCAGCATTGTAAGTATTAAGGAAAGAAGTCACATTAAAATACTATAACAAACTTAATGAAAATTGATGCTCTTTCTTTAGCATGACATGTCTCTCCTGAGAAGGTGGTGGTGTGTTATCCTGGTGGAAAACTTTGGACTGGAAGGGTATGCTGCAGTGCTACAAAAACATTTGAATTTGTAATTGTATTATCAAGAAGATTTGGGGGGAACACCTGGCTCTAAAATTAAACCTTCTGGTCAAGAAAATGTGTCTTATTTGCAGGTATGGAAAGAACTTTGCTCACTATAGTGAGGAAGGCAGGGCGACCCTTAGCGACAATGTCCCACCTACATTCAGGATCAGTCGTAAAAGGACGCATGCAAGCAGCACCATGGTCAGTGTATCGCTCAACGTATCTATGACCCTGTGTGCCTGTTTCAGAATGGGTTACTACTCCTAAAACACATACTACATAGAACTTATGGTACATGCAACATTTGTTTTGTGTGGTATTGTGTCATTCTGAATCGAGCCTGGATCATTTTTGGAGGAGTTAAACCGTGCATGTAAAGCACTGTCAAAATAATGGTTGACTGTCTGATGCCCCTGGACACTGATGAGGACCACTCCTATAACAAGAGGCCTTACAGCTTCCTTCCTAAAGAGTCGGTTAGTGAATGGACATATTAAAGTGTACAACCCCTGATGCATGTGATTTTATAATATTACATATGACTTCTTTATACCATCTTGTCTTATCAGTGAGATGGAACTTTGTTCTCATGACCTCGCCAAGAACATGAGTGAGGAAGCGCACCAAAGGCTGAAGGACTTGTGAAAGATTCCGAGGAGTTTTTAAATAGGCTTTAAACTCCTGCAGGTCAATATTTTTTTAAGTTGACCAGCTCTGATTTTCCATATGATGTTCTGTTCAATAAATGTTCATTGAGGAAAACGGTATCAGTGTCTTATTTTATATACATCACAGTGAATGCTGAACTTGCCGGACCATATACTGTAGTTGAAAGTACACAATGAAACACTGGTTTGCTTGTATCAAATCAATACAATTCCCACATGCCCTACCCCAGAACCTGCGGTCTTCAGACTCTGGCCCCCCGCACCAACCTGCGATCCTTCGGGGACAGAGCCTTCAGTATGGCAGCCCCCACTCTCTGGAACGCTCTCCCTGCGGAGATCTGCAACATCCCCACGCTTGACGCCTTCAAAAGGGCCCTCAAGTCCCATCTGTCTGCCAAGGCCTTTGCCCCAAATCTATTTGTTGTTTTGTTCTTCTTTTTAAAGCGACCTTGGGTCTCATGAAAGGCGCTATATATATCTTATTATTAATACATCATTGGAACGGTACCTCCAGTATTCCTACTGTAGGAGTTTTGAGGTTTTTACAACCCCACTCTGCTCCGCGTGTCGTTTTGACGAGTCCTGCTTAAAATCATAACAGGAAGGAAATCAGACAGAGAACACCCGGATACCAGTTGAAACAATAATCTGTTTTAATTATCAAAGGTAATAATGTAATGCAATATAATACATTACAATACAATATAATATACTACAATTATATTGTAATGTGTAAGGAGTATGCCGGCCCACTCCTGCCCTGGTTCGCGTGCTGCGGAGATCCTTCCGGTCCTGACAGCATGTGAAGAGAGAGCGAACGCCAGGAATCGACAGGAGATATACCATAATAAGAAGGAGGGGTTAGGTCAGCTGGTCAGCAGAAAACCAAACAGGCTCACTTTGCAACAAAACACCTTATCACACAAGTCATGTGTTTCTTTATGAAAGCCATACTTTGTTGGAAATGTAACAGTCATCATCCCATGGCATCCTCAGGACCAGCTCACCAACAACACCTAACTGTCTCCATAGCCCCAGGCCATCTCTGAACTTCCATTCACCCATAATCAGCTCACCCAGAATGAGAAGGACCATTGTTTCTCTAATTGTGTGTGACTCAATTCTCCTGCTCCTTTAGGAGTCCTGAAATTAACGCACATACATTTCTCTCACAAAGATAACACAAATATTTCATCCCTCATATCTCCAACTTCTGGTTACACAGACTGCTTATTAATTAAACCCACACATATACTATTCAAGACATGTAGACTTCCCTGAAACATGACATGCTAGAGATCTTAAGCAGAATATACTCTCATCCACCGAGCCCCCCTGTCCTGCATACATACACCTCCCCCACAGAGCAATAAAACCCTGTTTACTCCAACCAGCCCAGAATGTTTATAGCCATTTTTAGTCCTTACATTTATGAAAGGATAAAACAGAGAAATCAATACAAAACACAAACACAGGTATTTGTTTGAACAGTATTCACTTAACTGATACTATTGATAACCACCAGGGAAACCCAAAGGACCTCTTTTAATATCTATCTGGAATTTGCAACAATACTTTCTGCCATTTCAAATGTAACACACTTCTTAAATATCAGATGATAATAATCTTCACTACATGACAAGCATTGTTATAATATACAGTAAACATATTATCATACATTTTTTTAAAAATTATAAAATGTCATTCTGGCTTTCACTGTTCAAATGAGATGTCAACCATCAAAATGGTATAAGGGGTTCCAAGGGGTTCTCAAACGGATAGGTTATTAATGTATTTGCCTAATAGTTGCTTAAAATGCTACAATAAAATGCCATGTACGATCTATCAGCCACCGTAGGGGGCGTGTCGTCAATTCGCTTTTCATGCCTCTCAGCCACAGTCGTGTCAGGTGGGCGTGTCGTGTACCGTCGTGTACTGTCCGCGGCCGCAGCTAGACCATATTGGAAGTGCCGGGAAAACTCAAATTAAGTTCAAGAGACAAACAAGAGACAAACAACAAAATGAGTGCGGGACCGAGCAAAAAGCTTCCACCCAGAATGGGAGGAAGAATATTTTGTTGTGATGTCACATTCAAAGGTTATTTGCCTTATTTGTAAAGCAAGCGTCGCTCTGCCAAAGAAAGGTAACGTGGAGAGGCATTATCGGAGTGTTCACAAGGCATATGACAGCGACTTCCCTCCGAGTAGCGAGTTGAGAAAGAGAAAGGTCATGTATTATTGCTACACAAACATTATCTCGCAGTCTTCGTGTCGCCAACTCGTTTCTAACATGCAAAAAGACAAACAAATGCGTCTATGGTCGTTGTATTTTTAATCTTTCCAATCGAGACGAGATCTCTCTCTCCCCCGTCTGTGTGCGAGGGGGCGGGGCAGTTTACACACACGCAGCTGCTACATGCAGCAACACACGGCGGGGATGGCGGAGAGAAGCGCTCCAAGGTGTGGTTAAATTTTACCCGTCTTGAGGTGGACAATGCTCGTTGCCAAGAGTGTTTAGCATGTAAGGGCGGTAACACGAGCAATTTGTCTAAACATTTAGCAAAAGTGCTCCACATTCAGACGGAGGAATGCACCGGGTTCGACTGGCTTTCTAGTAGCTCTACCCCATCCACGAGTAACTTTTCCACGTCAGGTGCAGTGGCGTTTTTATATGTACAAAAGTGGTGGGGCACAAAAAACTTAGATGTCTATAAGCTTCTGCAGTGAGGTTCATGGCTGGTGAGGCACTGGCACTGACTCTTCAGGGTTACAAATATTATATTTTGACCTAAATAAAAATATAATATTATTTTCAAAAGCTTTTTTTCTCTGATGCTTCGATTAATTTTAAACAGACAGTTCAACAGAAGGATACCCAAAAAATGTAATTTTATCATTTAAATATTGGATTGTTCTCTCTTAGTAAGATCCCATTTTCAATAAAATGGTGGTCTTACCTTGACTTGAAGATGAAGTCCATTTGCCTATCCTTCTGGACAAAAATCTCTACTTTTTTTTAAAAGTCCTCCTATCTTCTTGTAGTTTCAAAAGTCTATTATAAATCTAATCGATAGATTTATGATTCGAAAATTATAAAAGTAGGGTAGACATGTGGATATTATCCGGCTGAACAAAACGTGCATTTATCTAACAGGTAGGCCTACGTTTCCCACAGATCTTATTTTGAGCTATTTTCTAAAAGCCTATGGAGAAATCTCATTGCTTTTTTGTCGAGGGAACCCATGCGCAGCTTACTTCTGGGTTTTAGGAAGCGTCACTGCACCTCTCTCCTCTCCTCTTCACACACACCACACTTTTCGCGGCACACGTACTTACAGCCAATCAGCTCTGAATGATGTGAGATGACATATGGTGGGGATGGCAGCTCAGTGCCCCTATGGTAATTATTTTGTGCCACACACATTAAATAGGAAAATACTCTGAGCATGCGCAGTGTAGTTTTTACAGTCACCATTCAGTTAGACAGTGAGAGGGAGGGGCATGATCGGGTTTTGTCCCACATGGCTCTAAACAGCTCAATAGGCACACACTGTAGACACTAATGAGAAGAACACAGACTAAAACAGCAATGTACAGACGAATCAGATTATTAAACATGATCTTAAAATATATTTTATTGCATTTATTTTGTAATCATTATTTTTAATACTTTCTGCTGACACTAGGTGGGGCTGCCCCTAATGACCAGTCGCCACTGGTCAGGTGTTATGTACAGTACTCAAGTTGTAAAAACAAATCAGGGGGGATGGTGGATTTTATCATATGGGGGCATAATTTGTGCTGATAACCCGACGAGGGTGGGAAACCAACCAGCATAAAGATAATTATTATACTCCTAAAACAACATGCATGTTATGGATGTTCAGATACTCCTTTCATTGCTCTTGACCAAGGCACCTCAGAATTAGAGTCGGTCCCCGTGCTGCCATGGCTCCACTAACATTTAGGGTCAAATGCAGAGGACAATTAGTGCAAAATCTTTTTTTCACTTTAATTTAAAGGGGGGGAGGGGATACAAAAATGTGGTTATAATGGAAGTCTATGGTACAAATCTTGTAGGTTAACAGTCCCTCATTTATTATTCAGATGGATCAGCTGATTATACTAATAATAAAGTCAAAATAGTTTTTAGAATATTGAATTATAGTGTATTATTTCAAAAAAGCAGTTACTGGTATACGATCAAAACTGGTATCTAAAGGGTTACATTTGTATCGTAATTAATTAAATCATTATGTAAATTAAACACTTCATGAAAAAATTGAGGGAAAAAAAAAAATTGATCCGTCATCATTTTATTGCAGTTCAAATATAAATATTTTATGTTAACATTCCCAATGTTACTTTTTTTAACAG